ATTAATGAACCCTCTCTGAGAGCATTTTTCAAGCCAGCTATGGATGAACTCAATTGTCAGGTCCACACTTACCTAGCTTGCGAATTAGTACATGATGGAATTTTTCATAAATGCAATATACAGTATATATGTCTGTAGCATCCCTACAATCTATGAAAGAAGTTGCCAGATAAAAAACAAAGTTAATATGAATCTGGCAAGATTTGTTGTCAACAAATCTATGCTGACTTTGGTAATTACTACATTATTTTCAAGGTGTTTACAGCTCCATCTCTCTATTATTTGCTCTAAAATCTTCCCAGATGTTAATGTCAGATTAAGGGTCAGTGTGCTGGATCTTCCTTTCCTCTCTTTTTGAAGATAGGAAAGTCTTTGCACTTGTCTAAGCACCTGGCACTTCATCAGTTCTCCAGACTGATGAAAATAACAATATTTGGGGTAGATGATCAGCCAATCCTGATCATCTAAGATGCAATTAATTTTGTCCTAGAGGTTTCAACTTGCTGAAAGTAAAGAGGTATTGATAGAAAGAAGCTCCTGCCCCTTTATCCTGCCCTTTACAAATTCCTGGTGGATTTTTATTTTATTTTTTTGAAGAAGAAGAAGAATATTGAACCAAAATAGGAGTTCATTAACTGTAAGCATTTTACTTTCAGGTTTGTGATTTTCTTTTCTGACCTGGCCCTCTTTCCATTTCCTATATGTGGTTTTTTGGTTTGTTTGTTTCAGGTATTCATCAGAAAGGGCCAGCACGAATTACTTACAGTATTGGAAAGAGAATCTTAATGACTAGAATATGAACCACATTCCTTACTGGAAAAGCTGTGCTAACAACTAGGGCACAAAACAGTTTCCTGCTGGAGCAGATGTCCAAACATAGCTAGTTTAAAAGGTTTTAAAAAGCAAGTTTTATTTGCCATCATTTATAATCCATACTCTAGGGCCCACTGTTAGAGAATTAAAAACAAGAGATTAAAAATATATATATTTGTTGCATTTATAACCCAGATTTTCTCAAGGCCACATACTCCGTACCCCTCTCCCATTTTATTTTCACAAGAACCCTGTGAATAACTGTCCAGTCACTCATGAGGTTCAGAGTAGGCAGGAATTTGAACATGGATTTCCCAGCCCTAGTTAACACTCTAACCACAACACCATATTATCTAGCATGATGAAATCCACTAGGAAGTGAAATCCAGCAAAGAGACAAACAACACTCCTGTGCAAACAAGAAGAGGTGCTAAACAAACTGTACCAGCCAGCAGCGTAGAGATGAAGGTGGCTGCTTAAAGATTTCTACAAGGAAACAAAATCCAATCCCCCAAAGAAGGAATGCTTATACCCTCCCATCAGACAGAGTTTACATTTTGGAGTCCATTTTGTGTATTGTCTCCATCCAGATCTACCCACCAGCTGCTGTTGTTTACAGAATATCTAACAGAAGCAGTGCTAGAAAGCTAATTGGCTGTGCCTTCCCCTGGCAAAGCAAGGCGACAAGGAGCAGGTCTAGCTATTATAATCTCCCTGGTACCAGCAAATGACTGCATGGCCCAACTCCCAGGAGGAAACAGCAACAGATCATTTATCTGGAGGTAGACACGACATAGGCGAATTCTTGAATTTGGATACTAAGCTCTCCACCTCTTCATGTTTTGTTACCCAGAGGCGAATTAAGTTGCAATGCAACCTTTTTAGGATTTTCCAACAGGAGATTTAATCAGAGCTTGAATGATGAAAAGCAGGAAGGGAAACCATACAAATCTTTCTTGCTTTATCTGCCAGTTTGTTGTTCCCAGTAGATAACCATCCCGAAGAGGCAAAGACTGTTTTAAATCTGGGCTCAGAAACTTTTTTCTCTTTTGTCTGCAAAGGTGAGTCAGTCCAGGGTGAAGGGAGGACAGAAGGAAGAGGGCACAACTGAAGAAATGGTTATGTTGAGCCTTCAGAAAAGATGATTAGGGGAGAAATGATAGTACTTTCCCAGTATTTGAAGGGTTGTCCCACAGCCTGAAGTGCAGGATATAAATTAACCATTTAAATTCTGCCTGAACGTTTGAAACAAAACAAATGCTACCTTACAGACAGAGAAATCTTACAGTGGAATCAATTTCTGAGGGTTAGGGTTGCTTTACTCAAGAGATGCTTTACACTGGGGTTCCTACACTGAGGAGATTAGACTCAATGGCCTGAATGGCCTCTTCCCAATTTATGATGCTTCATAATGATGATATGATGATGCTTCATAATGATGATATGATGATTCAGAAGGTGAACTCCTACTGTCTAGCCCAGTTTTTCCCAACCTAGTGACAGCCAGACTCTTTAGGACTACAGTTCCCAGAATTTCTAGCTGGTAGGTCCAATGGCTGAGAAACCTGCAGTTGTTGAGAAAATGATTAGTGATTTTATAAAATCTAATTCACTAATAATTTATAATGTTTGAAAACAACCATTGCAAACCTATTGAAAAACAAACTTCTCCACATTTTGAGATATGGAGTATCCATATTCTGACTGGCCTCTTTCAGTTCTTCCCATCTATCCACCGCCCATCCATTTCAACAGTGCCCCAGAATTTCATTGAAGTTATTTTGTTATACAAGGCAG